GAGATCGTGACCTGGCTGAAGTCGGACGCTTAACCGACTGCGCCACCCAGGCGCCCCTATTTCTCTTTTCTAAGAAAAGCTCCATCATTATCTTGTTTTTCATCTTCCTTTCTATGTGTAAATCTCAACCTCCTCATTAGAGAAAGTAGAATGCATATCACCACAATTGATTAGCTAGCAGTAAAGGAAAATTAAGAGTCCGTTTTAGAGAATTCCAGCTGGAGGTACTATAGTAGACACACACTGCATTTCCAAAGACGGCCACACCCATTCTTATTCTATTTGACATGTTCTTCTCACAGTGTGACAATGACACACCTACATTTAGAGGTGGGGTCTGTGTTTTTCTCCCTTGAACCTGGGTGGGACTTTGTAACTGTCTTGATCAACAGAATACAGTGAAGGTGACAGCATGTGTGACTTCTATGGCTTCCACTTGGTTGCTGAATCCATTTTATGTCTTGGGTTGCTTGTGTTTGGAGTCTAGCCACCATGTTGTGGGGAAGCCCAGGCCGCATGGAGAAACCATGTGTGGATGTTCAAGTTGACAACTCCAAGCAGGCCCCTAGGTTACAGACATCGTCAATTGCCAGCCATGTGAGTGCATGAGCCTTGAGATGTTTCCAGATCTCAGACTTGGGGTCCTCCATTAAAGGCCCTAGTCATCATTGAGCAGAGGCACATACATCATCTCCATAAGCCTAGGTTGAATTCCTCACCCACAGAAACCATAATAAATAATATATGACTATTTGAAGAATAGTTTGAAGACAAACTGTTGTTCGAAGACACTGGGTTTTGAGGTTATTTGTTATGCAGCAATAGATTAACATTGACAGACACTACAGATAATGATAGCAAAATACCATATATTGTAAAGATATTTTACAGAATAAAACTTACCTGCACTTCTTAGCAGTGCTGTATAAGAAAGCAAGATATAGTAAATACATAGAAAGAAGGATTAGTGGTTAAGAGGGAAAAGGACATGGGGAGTTATGGTAAATGGTTAGAGCCTCTGAGGTGATGAAAACTTTTGAAAATAGTGATGACAACTGCACAGCATTGCCAATGTAATATTACGTAGCATTACCATTCAACTGTACACTTAGAAGTGGTTAAAATGACAAGATTTGGGATTATATAGTTACAAATATAATCACACATTTTTGTCATTTTTCTGGTTCTCCAGGAGGGAGTCCTCTAATCACCTTCCTGAAGGATACAATGCTGGCTACCAGTAATCTGGGGGCAGATTAGGAGAACGGTGCTAAAGAGAACATCATTACTTAAGGAGTCTTTCACTTAATACATTTAGAGTTACATCTTTTTAAAGATTTTATTTTTAAGTAATCTCTACACCCAACGTGGGGCTCGAACTCACAACCCGGAGATCCAGAGCTCCATGCTCCACATACTGAACCAGCTAGGCACCCTTGAAATATATTTGTTAAGAAGAGCAAATAAATAAATAAACAAATAAATAAAATATACAGTAACAGGCCACTGCCACTTACATGGAATAATGTTTAGATAATATTAGAATCTTTTGTCCCATTCTACCTTGTAAGGAATTTGTTTAAAAACATTTTAATCTCTCCATCTTCCCACAAAGAACCAAACCAAAATTGTTTTAGATTTGCTTACCAAAAAAGCAACCCTCCCAATAATACAAAACAAAAACCTAAGAAATCTTTAAGAAAAAAAAAAAAGAATTCTCAGGGCCTTAAAATAATCAGCTTTTATAGTTGATCTCTTTAATTAAGATAGTTAATTAAGCTGTTTTTTAAAGAACCTCTTTTACTATTTAAGTAATGACTAATTTTAGAATTAACATTTGAGAAATTCTCATTATGTGCCAGAGGCAAGTCACAGTAAAGATTAGCGGTGACTGACAGTAATCAGAAACTGATGGCTGCATCTGCCACTTACAAGGGCCAGTACACAGGAGTAATCAGTATTGGTGTTATTTGGAAAGCTCAGGTGCTCGGGTAATCATAAATTGAGACTTGAGTGCATAAAACCCAGAAAAGGGTATAAAGGGAATCATTTTACAGTTTTGGGAACTGAAGGATCCACTAAGAGCATAATTTTAGAAAAAGGAAAGGGCAAGATTAATTAGTGGCAATGACTTTAGTTAATGTTATGACGGCTACACTGGACAATGGTGAACATGGTTATAGGCAGTGAACTTGCAAATTAGTGCCATGGCCATAGGGCTGCCAGAAGCTGTAAGGCCTAACAGAAAAAAAGGCTTCCTCTGAGATAATCAATTACAAGCCTGATCTATATCATCAGTTATGTTTTCTGAGGGCAACCTCTGAGCAATCTGCAGGAGGGAGGTTGATAAGGTTTCTTTGACACTTAGCAGCTGGGAGTGACAGAAACACAGGCGAGAAAATCTCTCTGACACATCCCTAACGATAATCATACATGTTGGATGGAAACAGAAGGGCTGCAGATTTACTGAACAGGTGTTCTTGGGATCCATGGGCCTTTCACAAGACCTTGGAGGGCCTCATGTGAGCCTAAGAAACCCTTGAAATTGTCTATAAAATGTTTTCTGTATTGTATGTACATTTTTTTTAAATGTTTATTTATTTTTGAGACAGAGAGAGAGACAGAGCATGAACGGGGGAAGGTCAGAGAGGGAGGGAGACACAGAATCCGAAGCAGGCTCCAGGCTCTGAGCTGTCAGCACAGGGCCCGACGCGGGGCTCAACCTCGAACAGACCACAAGATCGTGACCTGAGCTGAAGTCAGACGCTTAACCGACTGAGCCACCCAGGCGCCCCGTATGTACATTTTTGGAGCGTACTTCTTTACTTTCTCCATGGTTTCAGAGGGATGGATTCAAGACCCAACAAAGATTAAGAGCCACTGGACTAGAATAAAATATCTGAACATGCACCTGTGGTTTGAGCAGCTCCATTTCTTTCCTTAATTGTCCAGAAGACAGATTGAAAGTTCATATGTGAGTGTACAAATGGGTGCTGAATTAACTCTTTTCAAGGAGAAACAAAGAAATACATTCTCCTAAATACCAAGAATCCCTCTAGCTTCTCTCAAATAATAATTTTTCCATACTGAGTAGTACCAACACAGAGTAACTTGGGTGCAGGCATGAAACATTCTCCTTTGTTTCATCTGTCATGGTAACCGTATTCTGAGCAGCTTCTTACAGGAGAGCAAATGACACAGGAGCGCCCACATGGCCAGAGAGAGGGAAACGCTGATGAGGTGAGCAGAGGACAGGGCAGGAACCGTGACAGCTGGAGTTGTAGGAGACACTGCTGTGTGGGCAGGACTCACAAGTCTAAGGTCAGGTAGGTCAGCTCAAAGCAAAATACACTTTCCTTAATGTTTTGAGACAGGGACATATCACCATTAGCTCTGCAAGGAGACTCTAGCAGGTTCTTGGGACATGTCGAGATTAATCAAAGAAGTGAACATTAGTGCTTTTTAAATTAATTTTTTATAAAGTGAATGTGGATCCACCAATGAAAGCATCTGAGAAAAAGGCAGTAAGAAAAAATTATAAACAAAATGTTTCCCAAATGAACATGTTTTCTAAAAATATTAGATTTATTAATAACA